TAATGGAGCTGTAAAATCTATAGTATCCATATGCAGGGATTTGCTTTAACACCCATTTGTCCAGTGTCTCCAAATCTTATGCAACCATGGTACTTGGGTGCAGGGAACACACACATAATGTGGTGCCAGCTCCCATCCTGCAGAAGCTCACGTTCTACCAGGACAGACACTGTAGCACCAGATGGATATACCAGTGAATAACTTCTCCACACTGCACCACACTGTGCAGCCGCTTTGTTGGTCAGAATATTAGAAAAGCAGAAAAAGTGTTATGACTAAAAACTATAATTCCTCCCTCTTTTGATCACCAAGCCCAATTATTATTAACAGCTCTAATATATGTTTAATAGCTTGTTGCCCAGGAACAAGACATTGAATCAAAATTATTTCCTTCATTCACTAACGCCCCAAATATTGCAATACTGGCATAAGAAATACAAGCAATTAAACAAGACAAGGATTTGGGGTTCTATCTCTGAGAAGGGAAATAATGACACCCCAGATGATTTATTTACTGCATTCATGCAATCACAAATGCCCTGTGAATGCTGATTCACATTGAGGCCGCTGGCATAATGCATCAGGCATTAAATTCACGAACATTTCTTTAGAGCTGCTTAGCTGAAGTTTATCACAATCATTCAGCCATTGCCTAGCAACTTGTGAAGGCTATCAAAGAGCTCTTTGTCCTCAGTCCTGGCAAAAACAGTCCTCACAGATCTCCTTATCAGAATTAGAACATTTATCAGAAAAAAATGCTTCCACTGAACCAGAGACTGCTGGAAATTTAAAGCTACCCCCCTTCCCATTTTGCCCCTTCTTCCAAGTATTTTAGAAAGTTATTTCCCAGAGTAACTAGTATTAAGCCTTGTATTTGTTTTTTGGTAAATATTCCAAAGGAATTATCTCAAGATGTCTCTTAATTCTTCTATTGCTCTATAATCTGGGCCAAAATTAAAAAACACAGACCTGAGCTCCTGAAGGTACATCGTCTCAAAAACAAGCTAGGCAGACGCCCCCTGCCTTTAGCAGGGAAGGGTCACCATTTCAAGCACACCAACTGTACAAACGTTGGGCTTCCTGGCTTGAGTGAAGACTTCTGCAGGAAAGCAAAGAATGATAGGGGTGCTCCATTCAGTTGGACAGTGGTGAATATCATGTAGAAAAGAGGAACTGTGCTTATTGATTCACTCAGCAAATATTTATTTAACACCTTCCATGTACTAGGTACTGTGGTGGCAAAAACAGGCACTGTTTTTCCCTCATGGAGCTACCAGAATTAATTAATTTCCTTGAGTGGGGTATGGGGAGGGGATCCTTCATCTGCATTTTCTTGCATATCTCTCCAAGATTCATCTGCTCCTGAATCCCAGCTGTTATTGATTTAGTTCAATGCCTTGTCATTTTTATCATTTTTCATCTGGGGAACCTAAAACAGCCACCTGACAGGTCTTCTTTCTTCCAGGCTCACCATCTTCAAACCACCTTCTGCTTTTCTATAAAACCCAAATTTAATTATGTTCCCTTCTTCCTAAAAATTGTTCATTTGGTCCCTGTTGACGCCAGCAGGAGGTTCGCACTCCACAGCACGGTCTTCTTGGCCATTCTCAACGTGGCCGCTGCTTGGCCGCAGACGCCTCACCTGCTCTTACAGCCCCGAGCTTCAGCTGTACCCAATGCTTGGCCTGCCTGAAGGGTAAACACAGACCTCTTTGGGCCTCTGAGCCTTATACTCACTGTTCCTCCAGCCTGGAACCCTCTCCCTCTTCCCTCTACCTCCTTGCCTTAGCAAGATCCCCAGAGTTGGGTGTGCCTGGTCTGTGGTCATTATCACCCTCAGTTACATTTCTTGGAGAACTTCTCATCAGCAGGCCAGCAGCTGGCCAGATCCCTGGAATGTTTGTTGAGTTAAATACTCTTTTCTGTCTTTGGCAAACAAGGAAACAAAAAGATATCTTGTAGGACTCTAGCAAAGTTGGCAAACAATAAGATAAGATCAACAGAAATAATTAATGAATAATACGTGTGTGCATGCGCGCACAGACACACAGCCAAAAAATGGTCAAACTGAGAGCTCTTTATCCCAGATGACGTTGCATTCCAGGGCTGTCCTTACATGGAGGTCACAGCAGCAGCCATATACCTGGTGTAACTTAGGACACTTACACAGCACTCCCTCCATGACCCTCAGTGCCTGAACATCTATTAGATACTTATTTCTTAGGCTCTTAATATATGTGCTCTCTTAAAATATTAATATTCTCCAAAGAAAGTACACCTCCAAATAATAAATATATCTTGTCCTTTGCTGACTATAAGATGAAGGGGAAGATAACTGGAGAGGACAGAGGGTCTGAGGGGGAGAAGTAGCAATAGAAGAAAGACAGCTTCATACTTTTCCCCTGGAGTTGCCCCCTGACGGAGACATGCTTATATTTGTCTTCAAATAGATTATGCATTCATATCTGCAAAATGATGACTCATTTTTGCCAATGATAGAATAAAAGAAAAGTGCTTGACTTTTTAAGATAGGGTTGCTAATAGAAGTTTTATAATTTAAATTCAAAGGAAAGATTTCTTTGCAATCCTAAAATAAAAGTTATTTATAAGTAAACTTGGTTCTGTTGAAATATGCTTATATGATTGGAGACAGTAGGTTTGATAGATGATCTGTAGAATTCCCTATGTTTCTTGGAGATTAAATGATGGGTAAATCATGTGCAACAAACTCATCTCTGCAATGTATCTCCTTGCTATATCATGGGCCTTATTACTTATATGAACATTATCTTGATAAAGTTGATTATGACTGATGGTTATGCTAACCAGCTGGACAAACTTCTTAAGGGAAGACAAATCAAGTATGAAATAAAGGATCATTTTATTCAGATCTGCCCATCTGGCCTGTAGTCATTTTTCTTAACGCACTCTGATTGAGCATGTGCTGAGCTATACATAAATTGTGATAACCTATAATGAAAAAAATATATATATATATGCTTTTGACCTAAAGTGTACTCAATTTCATCCTAACTGAATTCATTAAATGTAATGTGAAGTAGTGATTTGGCAAGTAGCTGATAAACTGAATCACTATAAATGGCTAAATCTTACCCACCCAAGTTCCACAAAAATCAGAATTAATTTTCAATGACTGTCAATCAGATTAACCAGATAATTATTCAGCTTCCACTTCTTCAAAATCCTCACTGGGATTCGCCTTGATGGCTCCAGACCAAAATGCCCTGGTTTGCTGAATCTTTGTGAATCAGGTGTCCCTGTCTTAGCTTCTGTTCAACAGGAGTCCTGGCTCACAGTCGTGCTAAGGACCTGAATTTGAATGGAGACTGAAGCCTGCAGCAGGTGACCTTGTTAGTACTTCTTTAAATTCACAAAACAAAGTTTAGGTTTCTAGCCTCCTTTTAAAGTGGTTTACTGCTTAATGTTTGATTCTTTTGTCCAGTATAGATGTGAGTAAAACTACCAGACAAGGTTCTGTGGTTGGTTTGTCACATTTGGGGAGGGAAGAGTTTGCAATTTCATCTCAGTTTTTCAAAAGAGATTTTGGGGAAAAAAGCTCATATATTTGTGAATGCAAGAATAAAAATAGCAGTAGGCCTAAATTCTGTATTTTATTCTATAGGGAACATTTAAACCCCAATCGGCTTTATAAACAGACTTGGTCTCCTTTCTTCAGCCAGTGGGCCAAGCTGAAACAAAAGTCTATTGTTGGTTCAAGAGAGACACAATGAGGTCTGCATGCTTTCATGCCTACTTAACAGCCTTTACCATGTGGGAGACTTTCAGAAGGAAAAAACCAGGGACAGCAAAAAGTGGAGAATTACTGTTCAGCGGAAATGGCTGCATACCAATTAGCAACATCCATGTCTGGGGCTGCTCCGCTGCTTCCATTTTAAGGTTCGGGTTGTGGTGACTTTTCTCCTAATCACTTTAGAAGCAAAAACTATAGTACAAAACAAGGCCTTCTCAGCATCCCTGGTGCTGGCTGGTTGTTAGTGTTCTGGAATCCCAGAGGGTGTGTGTGCTTGTTCTCAACGTGTTTTTATTTGGTCTGAGGCCAGCAGTCACCAGTTCACTACTAATTACATAACTCACTGCCTTTCAATGCAAAGAGCATCTCTTTGAGTTGGGAAGAATTCCGACTTGCATGAAAGAGGCCCCTATTGTATTTCAAATACAGATTTACAGAAGAGACTTTCATTCTTCCATTCGTCTGGTTTTATTTCTATTTTTGCAACCTTGATTTTTCTGTCTGTTTTCTTTAGGCATTTATTTATTCATTCATGACTGGTTCTAAAGTTTCTCAGTGCTCAAGATGAGAGTTAAACACCTACATACAGTTTCATAATAATCAATAGCTTAGACAACAACTATAAATAACATCAGTTGTGAGAATCTGCCTCTGTCTGCCCAGTGTCAGATTACATTTTTAAGGAGCATTTGGTGGCACATGTTAGTGCATCTTTTGTTCTGTGCAATGTATCCTCAAAATATTTTAAAATTATATTTATTTGTTTACTACAGGGGAGAGTTTTCTTTATGTAAAGCAATTTGAACACTGTATTTTGCCTTATTTTATACTTCATTTGTTTCTCTGTGAGTGGAGACAATGAGTGGAGAAGGAAGTCACTGAGGGCTAAAAGATATAGTATTTTTTAATACATTTTGCCTTCAATAGACAGAACCCTTGGGCTTCTCCTCTGCGCCTTCACCTAAAGAAGAAAAATCAATATTTTGATTTTTTGTGTTTTTCCTTCTTTTTAGTGTGTTATTTCTTCTTTATGACTCCATAGAAAATAGTTCTGGGTATGATTTTAATGCTATGATGAGACTGTGTACTGATGCATATAAGATGATAACTGGACTTTAAACCTTGCATCCTGTCTGCTCAGTGCTGCCCATGGTGCTGTGAGCTTAGTCCTCATCTGAGAGTTAGCATCTGCCTTCCACTCCGCCTCACCCCATGTTTGTTGTTTCAGGTGTCCACTGTGACAGCGTGTGCGCTGAGGGGCGCTGGGGTCCCAACTGCTCCCTGCCCTGCTACTGTAAAAACGGGGCTTCGTGCTCCCCCGATGACGGCATCTGCGAGTGCGCACCGGGGTTCCGAGGCACCACTTGTCAGAGAAGTAAGTGTCTCGTGAGACGGTCGTTTACATCTTCCCTGCCCGGTGTCCATGCAGAACAGTGACCTCTGTCCCACCGCTCCGCTGCTGCAGTTGGGAGCAGAGGGGAGGACAGTAGTTCGTTCGCCTGTCCTTGGCAGGACTGTCCTCAATAGCACTTCCCCAAGAACTCTTTTCCCCAACCTTCAGAACTATCTTAACAGATGGGGCTTTAACCATTTCTTCTCAGTAATGATTTCATTATCTTATTGGCACCACCATCAGGATATGTTTCTTGATCTTTCCGGAAAGCTTGCAAATGGTGTTCCAGAAATTCATTGACCTGTAAATATTTTATTCAGTAATTTGGCATTGGCCTTACCTCAATTAGCAGAAGTCAACATCAGCCAAACCTTGAGGCGAATCGTACATCCTGCTAGTAGTTTTTAAAGTCAGTGCCAGGGGGAAAACAGAATTGCAAAGTTAAAAATGGGGACTGTTGCATTGGTCAATAAAATTTTTAAGTTAGGAAATGGTCCATAATATTTTATTAAATCTTTCAGCAAATGTAATCAAGAAAAAATATGACTAATTATAAGATACACTATTCTAATTTTTTAATTGTCCTTTTCCCATTGAGAACACTATGCAGTTATCCTAGATTTAAATCCAAATAATATCTTGGGAAGAACTTAAGTATATAACATTTTGCCTAATGACTTTTTGATTGTAATCATTAACCTAGACAATTTTGAAGAGAAAAAATCTAATTTTGACTGTAGGTCTATTTATTGCCAGTAATGACTCTTAAAGAATAAAAGATCAATAAATGGTTTGAGAGTACTTATTTAGGACTTATTATTAATAGTATTTAGAATTTTATTTTCTTCATCTCTTTATTCACTCGACAAAAATTCTTTTGAGTTCCTACTCTATGCCAAGCCTTGAGCTACTTGGGGCCTTCAATGAGAAAATTAAAAGGACTAAGACATTTACTTGCCCTCAAGGAATTCATAGTTTAGCGCCTTCTTTCCCTTATTAAAGAGTACCCTTGTTCCTTTTTTCCTTCTTGTTTTATACTTGGAGAATTCTCAGTATCTTTTGAAGTTTTTTTTTCCCCTCCAAAACTGTAACTAGATCCTTATGTGGAGTGCAAGAGAAGTGCACCTCAGAAAGGTGACAGCCGGTTTCCCTTCTATTTTCAGTCTGTTCCCCTGGTTTTTATGGGCATCGCTGCAGCCAGACCTGCCCACAGTGCGTCCACAGCAGTGGGCCCTGCCACCACATCACGGGCCTGTGCGACTGCCTGCCCGGCTTCACAGGCGCCCTCTGCAATGAAGGTAAGAGCAGGGCATGCTGGGAGATGCACGGTGATCAACAGCCCCACCCAGGTCTGCCTCAGCCTCCTCCCAGGCTTCCCAAAGGATGCTTTTCGGCTATCAGATGCTTTCTGATGTGCTGTGTCTGCAGCTTCTGAAACAGGGCTCTGAGCTTTGGAAAAGCTGCCTTGCCACTCCAGCAAAACCCCTCCATCCTCTGAGCTGTGCTACTCTTCAGCTTTAATAGGAAACATGTTCCCATGAAAAAATCAATAGGAGGAAGGATTTTGACACCCTGAGCTAGAAGCCATGAAGTCATATTTCTAGAAGTGTGATGATGCCTCCTGGTTTGGGATGCTTTAATGAGGACCTCTGGCTTCATGTATTTGCGAAAACAAGCCCATTCAAGGCAAGGGATGCTGCCGAGCAGAGACAGCTACTAAATGAGCAGCCGGGTTGCGACCTTTAACGTCATTTCCTGTGCTGAGAATCTAGGGTTCTGTGAGATGGGTAGTGATTGTGAGTTGCTGACCTATTGCTTATTCACAGTGTGTCCCAGTGGCAGATTTGGGAAAAACTGTGCAGGAATCTGTACCTGCACCAACAATGGAACCTGTAACCCCATTGACAGATCTTGTCAGTGTTACCCAGGTTGGATTGGCAGTGACTGCTCTCAGCGTAAGTTCGTGAACAATTTATCCACTATTCTTATTTGTTTGTTTCCAAATTATTTAGGATTGAAGTGTGAGCATATAATCAAGAAATACTTACTACTTATAAGATGCATTCTACTTTTTAAATTCCTTTTGTTTAATTAAGAGCTCTATACAATGGTCCTATATTTCAATCCAAATCATGTCTTGGAAAGAGCCTAAATATGTAACATGTTACTTATTCACTTTTCAGTGTCCCACCATCCATTGAATTAAAACAAAAATAGCTGCATTTAGAAGTCAATCTCTTCATTTTGTGTTTCTCTGGAGGGTTAATTATGGAGAAATGAAAAAGTAGAACTTAAATGGTGTAAGCCTTCGAAACCTACTGGGGTCCTACGAAGGCCAGCCAGCTACCTGGGGTGCACAAGTTCACCTCCAGCTTAGCGTTCCCCGTGCCTCCCACACCACTGGACTGCAGATGGGACTCGTGTGACCCTACATAGTCGTGTGACTATGTAGATGACTTTTAGGTTAGTCATGTCATGAAAAGATAACACTGAACATAAGTCATTGGTTAATGCTTTGAAAAGGGGTCAGTGCAAGTTCTAAAAGTATTCACCTTTTGACCAAGGAATAGCACATGTCCAGGGGTAATCTGGTTCCATTCATTATACATTTCATGGCACATACTGAGTTTATATTGAATCCACCCATTATGCACATAAGAGAAATCAAAGAATGACTGTGTACTTATTTCACATGGTGGTTTATTGGTCATTTAATTCAAACTTTACAGTTATAATCAACCTTAAAATGTTAATTGATGAGCAATATATTTTAGCTTGAAGATTTTTTCTGAATGTTATTTTTTTCTCTTGAATAGTTCAGGCTATACCCCATTTGTGAAGAATAATGAATCAAAGCCAATAGATCTTGAAAGTATAACTTCTTGGTGAAAGAAGTCTTATTAGATATAATTTCTTGATGTATGTTTCACTCTTTTCTGGGGGCACCACTCAGAAGTAACCCCAGCCTGTTTAAATATGCATGTGTTGCAAGGACTCTGGCTCGGGCTGGCACGTGGACAGATTGAGGAATAGATACTAAAGGCAGGGTTTGGGGAGAAAAAAAGGCCCAATATTATTGTCATAAAATGATTGATTTATTTTGCTCCTTTTAAAAGTACTCTTTATTTTGAAAGTTGGTCACTTCCTCATTTGGAAAAGGAATGTACTAGAAGGAACAAAAATGGGAACACCAGTATGAATGGAGACTATAGTGTTGCCTGCCCCCATAATCACTGCAAAGGAAGCTGATTTATTTGGCAAAAGCCTTTGCTTCTCTTGGGAATCATTGATTTCACGGATTCGCTTATGGATTCTGTGGAACCATCTTAATATTTCTTCTCGACTGATTGCATTTTGTTTAAAAAGGGAAAAAAAAAACCATAGTGAAAACGGAGACTTTGAAAAATTAGAGGGATACATTTAAAGTGGTAGGTGTCCTTTGCAAAATGATTTTTTAAAGCCCTGTGGTTTACGTTTTCCCTTTGGGGAAAATAAAAGTTGGGTGATCTTTAGTGCCATTCTCTGATCATAAAAAATAAAAGGAGTTAGCCTGATGCAAGTGGGTTACCTTAGAAAAATACATTATATTCTTAAGGTACAAGGCTTACGAAAGCTTGTTAAGTATCATGTAAGGAATATGTCATTTCAGGTAAAGAACACTCATCCAGCATCACGTGGGCTGGCGCTTCCGCCCTGAGCCTTGCTGTGGCCTTGAAGAGAAATGCCGTATTTCTCTAACAAATAACAAATGTTATTATTAGTCTGTGTGACCCTGGACAAGTCATTACTAACTTTTTTGGGACTTTAGCTTTTTCATTTGTAAAGTGAGGGTGTTGTACTTAGAAAATTTATTCTGATGTTCATTCCAGACCTTCAGTGTCAACCATCATTTTTCCCTGCTTTTGGGCAAAATGGTGTGCACAAATATGGAAGATTTTTTTTTCATTTTTTAAATTACTTCAGCTTTATTATTTATTATTTGTATTGGTCCATATTCCTTACTGGGTGTCCTTACAGAAATTACAGGTGGTCCTCCTTTTATGCAATTAAAGTGTGCTCCTGAAGCATTAGTATGAAAACATTTTTTTGTAAACCAAATTATTTTACCATGACCTTGCATTGTTATTTCACAAATACTTTATCTGACTTTCTGCTTGCTTTTCAACTGGCACTGACGCCTAATGATTTAGTTTTTATTATTTTCTACTTCTTCCAAGTAAGAGTTTTTATGAGCAAACCAATGTTTACATACAGCTGGGAACCTTGACATTTAAAAGGGCCCTAAAGTGATGACTCCAGAGAGAGTGAGTGTAGGGTTCAGAAACCAAGACATGAGTTACATGGCCTTGGGTCCCTTAATCTGTCTTGAATCAAATTGTTTCCCCATCTGATCTCTGCTCAAATGTCTTCTCCTCCGAGAGGCCTTCCTTGAAGAAGTGGTTACCACCATTCTTGTCCTCCCCCCATTTTATTTTTTCATAGCACTCACCACCATTGTTTTTTTAGTTGGTTGGTTGGTTGCTTTGCCTGACTCCCCGGCTAGAATGTAACTTCCACAGGGTAGTTTGGACTTTGTCTTGTCCTCTGCTATCTCCTCTGCACCTGGGAAAGCGTTATGCACATAGTAGGTGTTGAATGTGTGTTTGTTTGATAACTGAATCTGTAAAGTCGGGCTGAGTTTTCTCCACCTGCCTCACTCTGCACCTGTGAACGAAAGCGGGGTCCAGCACTGGCCCGGGTTTTGGTGCAAATTCGCAGCAGGTGCTTTCTTAGTCCTCGGTTACACTGCCACCCTCTTACACTCAGGAGCTGTGTGGGGTGGATGGAATCCTCTCTGCTTGGTACTGGCCTCCAAACTCTAACAGACCTCTGCACATTTGTGGTTCCAGCATGTCCGCCTGCCCACTGGGGCCCTAACTGCATCCACACATGCAACTGCCACAATGGAGCCTTCTGCAGCGCCTATGATGGAGAGTGTAAATGCACTCCTGGCTGGACGGGGCTCTACTGCACTCAGAGTAAGTGACAAGCCTCTGAGGTCAGCAAGGGGAGCCTCCCCAGTGCCCAGGAAGGATACAGCCTCACCCTTTGCACCCATGCAAGACTGGGTTCACCCTGGGCTCACTGAGGGTCCCTGGCATTGGAGTGCTTCATCTACCCAGTGACCTCTAGACCACATTCCTCTAAGTGGTTAAGAGCTACCATGTTCCAAGTACTCGAAGATTATGTCAGGACACTGAGGAAGAGCAATGCTGTGCAATGCTATGCAGTTTCTTTCTCTTCCCTCTTTTAACTAGACCTTACTCATGTGGATCAAATTCCCTATAACTTATTCTCACAGCACACGCTTAGGATAAAGGATAGAGGTAGAAAGGTATTGAAGACAACAAGCCTTTACTGCCTGATTTAATATGTGCTCTTGGAAAAGATGGACTTCAGTGGCTCCCAAATGTAATGAGCCTCAGAGTCACTTGGAGGATTGAGTAAGTACAGAGTGCTGCCTCCACCCTCAGAATGTCTGATTTAGCAGGTTTGGGTTGGTACCTGAGAATTTCCATTTCTATCAGCTGGTGGTAATGCCAACTGAGGACCATGCTTTGAGAACCATGGTTCTTTTTCCATTTTGTATCCCACAGTGTCCTAACCATTTTTTTTTTTCATGATGTTTTTAGCATCATAGGATATAACTTGAAAAGTACTCCAAAACTGAGCATCATTGGAAAAAAAGATTATTCTCTACCCTCTTGCCTTCCATCGAATAAATGAGACAAGACAGGAAGCATATATTATGATTAGTATTAAGAATCATGTATAATTAGAATTATAGCAATGAGCTGAGGAGGAAAGATGGGTCAGAAATTAGGCAATTCTTTTTAATACTAATTAGAGCACATAATTAGGGAATGGGCTGAAAAAGTCTTTTGAAACTTTCTAGAAGGGAGTTGTAGACCTTGAACCAATATTTGAAAAGGAAAATTGGCAAGGAAAGAGGTTAGCCCAAAAATATTCTGCAGAGATTGAATATCTATAAGGACTTTTAACTCCTGAGAGAAGAGTACTTATAAGATACTATTTAAAATTCTAAAATTAGGACCTGATTCAAACAGAAGACCTTTTTTAAGTGGAAGTAGCATGACAGTGGTGAATACATGGGGTCTGGAGCCACACCTCCCTGGGTTTGTGTCACGGCCCTGCCATCCTTCCATTTGGTAGCTGTGTGATTTAGGGCACTCTTGGCTTAGTTACTGACTGTGTGATGAGAATATCCCTCCCTGCATTTCTGTGCTGCTGTAAAGATTAAGTAAGAGAACACATGAAAAGAATCCAGCACACAATAGGTGCTAAGTAAATATGCGTGAGAATGAGGGTGCTCATTGCATACTGGCATCTGTGCACTGCCTCTGCTTCTTAAAAGTGGGGCTTTTATTAAACCTCACCATAAAAAAATAGAACAATAAAAAGCACATGGAATATTTGGAAACAACCATTGAATGAGCCTGTATTGAAGCTTTCATAATGCCAGAGAGCCCTGAAACACTCTTGCAGGGCAGCTGCCAGCCCATGTGAGACATAGAGCTCGTGGATGTCTTTAGCCCAAGAGTCCTAGTGCCTTAAGCCTTGGCAGTTGTGCAGCAGTAGGAAGGCATATTGCTTTTTACAAAGCACCTGTGAAGTACAGTTGGTTTTTTTTTTTTAAGTTAAGCATCCTACCACACGTCTTCAATGAAGGTGATATTATCTAAGTTAATAACAGATGCAGTGGACAGGGCTAGTAGCAGTGTTGGAGACATTCAGCACTGCAAGTAAAAGCATATGGCCGATTTTAATATAAAGTTCTCATTCCAGCCCATGGACTTTGAGTCTAGCATTCTAGTCGTTGAGTGAAAGAATGAAAGCAAGTGTCCCCTCCTTCTGGGCCTGCAGGGCCGCTGTGTAAGGAGACACTCGTCTGGTCTTTAGGGATCCCAGTGATGGTTACAAGGACAGGTGCAGAACTCCTCTGCCTCCTGCTTATGAATCACAACCTCCTTGCAAGAGCCCTGTCTAGGGACTTCGAAGAAGCCCTGCTGACAAGCTGAGATGCCCTATTGTCTTTACTCTTTATGGCACAGCCTCCCGCAAGGTCAAACACAACTGTGTTGGAGGCATGCTGTTTCTCCCCAGCAGCCCCTTACTCCCGCTGTACCCCCTCCTGGCGCAGGGTGTCCTCTGGGGTTTTATGGCAAGGACTGCGCGCTGACGTGCCAGTGTCAAAACGGAGCCGACTGCGACCACATCTCCGGGCAGTGCACGTGCCGCACAGGCTTCATGGGGAGGCGCTGCGAGCAGAGTGAGTACGCCCGCGCGGGCTTCTCCGTCGCCGCCCTTTTTCTGGATGTCTGGAAATAGTAAGGCAGAATTTGCGAGTTGTTGGAGCTGCTGGCTGGTTTGGGCTGATGGCACCGTTGACTCCGCTCCCAGAGCCCTGGCCCGGACCCTGGCAGGCTGGCCGCCCCACACTGCCCTCCGCGGACGCGGAACCCACGTTTCCGTGCTGGTTCTTTCTGGTGCTCTATTCCTCTCCTTCTTGTGTTTGCAATGTGGCCGCTCAGCGCTTTGGAAGAGCCAGTCAAGGCTCCTCCATGGCAGAGGCGGGCGGGTCCCACATGGGAGGGAGCAGGGCTGGGCCCGGGCCAGCCCCCGTTGCTGGGGAGGCAGCAAGGCCCTGCAAGCGTGGCCGCCCTGTGGACAACTTTCTCCAGATAGTACTTCTGTGCTGTTTCCACTAACAAGTTCTCGTCTTAGTTTTAATAACCTCAAGACAGCATGTTGCCTTTAAAGAATTTTTTTTTTCTCTTTAAAAGTCTCACTCAGAGAGAATATGCTCTGTTGGAATGACTCATCCTTGTGTTTCCATTTCCAACCTACCAGCTATGCATCTGCTCACAGGCTTATAAGAACATTAGTCTTAAACTGAGTATTTTAAGTTAGTTTATCATTCCTTTCCTCGGTGACTTTCATTCAGTATGCAAGGTAAATAAATAAGGGCTGAGGGTTGTCTGGGGCTCACTCTGTTATGGTAAAACCCTGTGAGGCAGGAAAGGTGCAGAACGATTCCCACTCACCAGAGACTGTCCTCTTGTGCACTGTGGCTGCAGGAGCAGTGTGGCCTGGAAGGGCTGATCAGCAGGACTTCGGCAGTGAAGCGCCCTGCGGGCTGCACGCGGCCAGCTCCTGACAGAGCCACTGGGCAGCCAGGCTGCCTCCAGCTCACATGCTAAACCCGGGATATCTTTGCATATCCTCCCTCCAGCAAATGCAGCAAAAGTGACATCCAGGAATGAACTCCAGACAGAGATGACCCAGTTTTAGTTTTGCATTGCTGTTTCATTTAAGCATGAAACAGATACTGAGTCACACGCCTCGTTGTGTGTATGTGTATAAACATCTAAACATACGAATAACAACTAGACTAGGCTCTAAACTGACTTTGACTTGAGTGACAGATGACTGGTTAAAGTCTTATTAAATAAAAACCTTTTAAGTGTTTCCATGATTACTTTGAACATCAGATTAAAATGTCCCTATCTTTAGAGACTTCTCCCAATGCTCATTTGTAAACAGAAACCCTGTGTTTGACAGAGAACTCTGATAATGATAGCACATTGCCCCCTTCTGCTCACTTTACAAAGAACATCAGTATTCTGTCATGAAGATTTTTAGATTTAACATGCCTGTACTAATCTTTGAAATTTGTGCCCAACTCTTATTAAGACTGCATGATAAGAATCCCACTATGTTAGTCTCTGGAACTTCAACATGCACATCTGAAGTTTAAACTATTCTATGGCAAATGGAGTTCTTACCTAGAAAATGAGCAAAACTTGCCCTCTCCCTCTTCTCCTACTCAGCCAATTCAAGTGAGAGTGCGGCTCCGCAGAGATCACGGAGCCCATAGCAAAACACACATGCTCTCAAGGAAGCAGCTCTAGTTTATGCTTTTCAGTCTGGCCCCTTCCAGCCCACAGTTTTGCCTGCTGGAGTCATCTCAAATGCCCTGAGTGATTATCATCTTTTGTTTCCTGGGGGCTCTGCAGACTCCCCGTGTACACGTGGAGGAGGAGGGTATGCGCTAACAGCAGCCGAAAGTGCCAGGGGAACAGTGTGACTCCATGTAATGTAATGTTGAGCAGCTCCCTCTCCAGCCTCTGCAGCCTGGACTGTGAGTCCCCGCATGACGCAGGGACTGCTGTCCAGCTCTGGGACATCCCATCTGGCATAAGTCTGCCTGAGCAGAAATCCCCTAAAGGGCTCACCTCCGGATGTGCAGGGTCCCGCAGTAAGAGGCAGTCTTGCTCCAGGTTCCCAAAGCTGGGGAGACAGACTTGACTTTCTCTTCTCCAGAGTGCCCTCCGGGAACATATGGCTATGGCTGTCGCCAGATATGTGACTGTCTGAACAATTCCACCTGCGACCACATCACCGGTACTTGTTACTGCAGCCCAGGATGGAAGGGAGCGCGATGTGACCAAGGTAAAGGTACCAGAAAATAACAAGGACTGCCTCTCATTGTGTGACCACATGTGCTGGCCAGCATTAAGTATTTACACTGATGTTATCTGGCATGATCCTCATCACAGCTGTGCACAGCACACCTGTTTCCTCATTCATTCTCCAGATGGATACTGTATTGTTGCTGTCTTAAAGGTAAAGGAATTAAAGCTTAGAGAGGTTGTGTAATTTCCCCAACGTCACAGAGCTAATATATAGAATATGCCACAGCTTTTATGCCAGGTTCTCTTATTCCAAAACTCATGAACTTTCTACTGGACCTATGATGTTTTCAGCTTTATTGAGGTATAATTGACATATAAAACACACACCTATTTTAAAGTATACAATTTGATAAAATCTGAAATTTGTGTATACCATAATAAAGACAATGTCCATCACCCTGTGAGTTTTCTCATGTCCCGCCCTACTACCACCACCCCTTAGGCCCCAGGCAATCTCTCATCTACTTTCTCTCACTATAGATTAGTTTGCTGTATATAGATCAGTCATCTAGAGTTTCATATAAATGGAATCACACTGTACTCCTTTTTTGGTTTTGTTTTGTTTACTCAGCATAATTATTTTGAAAGTGAATCATGCTTTTGTATGTAACATAGTTTTCAGTTCTTTTCATTCCGGATTCTGTTTTGTAGATATACCATGATTTGTTTACCCATTCGTGTGTTGATGGACATTTGAATTGTTTCCAGTTTTCTACTATTACAGATAAAACTACTTACAAACAATAGTGAATCAAGTCTTTGTATAGGCATGTGCTTTCATTTCTCTTGAGTAAATACCTAGGAGTAGAATGATTGGGTCATCTGGTAGGTATATGTGTAACTTTTTAAGAAACTTATTTCCAGAGTTTTGAACTAGGGTATATATCATAATCACTTGGAATATTTATCTCACGTATATAGTTCCATTTGGACCACCTCGATTCTGGGGTGGATAGGACTTTTGAGAAGGTGCTTCTGATGGCTCTGCGGCACGCTCTGCGGCACTCCCTGGTAGGCCATCAGCAGACGGGCTGTGAAAGGCTTTAGAAAATCTCTACAGTGTTGTAGGTGGAGTCATCTTAAACTGCAGATTGTGGAAGTATTTACACTTAATTTCCTTCATAAAATAACTATAACTTTTACATGCTTGTGATTTGAATATGACAGTCACAACAGTGGGTTATCACATTTCATGATCACATCACATTACAGATACATTGTAATCTGTCTGTGTTGGCCTTGGTGGTCTGTGTTTCAGGACAGACTGCTTTATAAGAAGGTCCTCTTGCATTTACAATTGTAAAGCCATAGGACATTTGCTTGAGCTGGAAGCAGCTACATGGAGGCCAATTTCCTCATTTACAGAGGGTAAAACTGCAGCCTAAAAGCTTAAGGGAAAATGCAGAGTACCTGGTCAATTTTTTTAGTTGCCAGATTTCTTGATTTTCAAAATCCTGCCTTTAGAGTCCTCACCTGATGGACCACAGGGAAGTACTATGCAAAGCTGAATTTTGAATTTAATGAGTAAGGTTTTAGGGTGATGTTATTGGATCTTATCAGGACAAATCTTTCTGTCTGGAAAATAACTTTGCACAGAACAATATCTGCTGAGGTAAAAGACCCACTGAAATTAGCATAAGGCAGATTCTGTTCTTGGACTATATAATTGAGTTATGCTTGCTTGGAAGGGAAATTACTCTTAGAAATGCTAAGGTTAGACATAAGATTAAGTTAGGCAATTGGGATATTTAGGATTTAGCTCTGCATAAGCTCAATACTGAATCATAAGTAAAAAAAATAAAAATTAGTTAAATTGTTACCCCAAATTAATCGCCAGTCTATTTAATCTGAAATATGCTCCCAAACATATTGGGAGCATATTGTTAAATCTGTTGTTAAATCTTTAGATTTAAGACATCCTACCTCTTTTTAATTTAATTTTTATTTTTAGAAACAGGATCTCACTATATTGCCCAGGCTGGCCTCGAATTCATGGGCTCAAGCCATCCTGCCGCCTCAGCCTCTCCAGTGGCTGTGACGGTAGGTGTGTGCCACCACGAGCTTTCGGCTCGCTGTGAGGCTTGAAGCAGCCATTCTCTGGGCGTGGATAAGGCAGCAATTTCTGAAAATGAGGAATGGCTGTTTTCTTTCCTGCTCTGTTTCCAAATTAACATTTTATGAACTGAAAATAACCAGGCCAACTGTAGGTTTTGTCAATACAGATCAGACGTTTATGCAGCCACTGTCATCCTTTCTCAAGTCTCTTTTCTCCTTTTCCTAGCTGGTGTCATAATAGTCGGGAATCTGAACAGCTTAAGCCGCACCAGCACAGCCCTGCCTGCCGACTCGTACCAGATCGGGGCCATTGCCGGCATCATCGTCCTCGTCCTCGTTGTGCTCTTCCTCCTGGCGCTGTTCGTCATCTACAGACACAAGCAGAAGGGCAAGGAGTCCAGCATGCCAGCCGTTACCTACACCCCCGCAGTGCGGGTCATCAACGCGGACTACACCATTGCAGGTACAGCGGGAGGCATGCCAGGCGTCTTACTCCTTGAGAAGTCAAGCTTCATCCTGGTTCCTTGAAATTGAGTGTTTGGCTGTGCCGTCCATTGTTTCTGTCCGTTCTCCTTGAGAGAACTGTATGTTTGGAAAAGGAATCGATTGTTAGAGACGTGTTTCATATCTCAACAATAGTTGAGGTATAGTTTTGTTATCTATGGAGGATTTTAAAATTGGGTTCATTGTGCTTTAGATTTGGGGGCTTTCAATCTAGAATAGATTGTGCTGGGCAGCCAGTGCCGAGCTCTGGTCACAGTTGGGGGGAGGGGAGGACCGTGAGATTGCCGAGGCGAGGAGGAGATCGGGGAAGCGGCCCAGGCCTCCTGCCGCGGCCTCCGGTGCTTTCTGCCCTGCCTTCCAGACTCTCCCTGCAGCCACGTGAGTCTGAAGAGAACCAAGTTACGTGATGAACGGGTTTCGGTATAAGCAAGAACCGAGGCAGTCCTTTAAGAAGTTCTTTTGAACCTTCCTTTCTGTCACAAGTGCTCATAAAAGGAAAAAAATGTATTTATAAGTGACACAATCATCAGAAGTAACCACTTACACTGAGGAATTTGAAAGCTTAAAATCTTCCTTAATTTTGGAGCAATTATTGAAGGACTTCAGGTTGGTTACGTGTTTAAAAACACAGTGATTCTGGGGAAAACGTAAAGTAGCTGATTTACATAGTAGTACATTTTCAGTGCAGAATTATCGTGTCCATAACTCAAGTGTTTAAGAAAAGAGGAGAGTTACAGCGGAGTAGCTTCAAACGATGCCTTTCCAGCTCGTACAAGCCCCAAAGCAAAGAGCAGTTGTCTGTGGCCACTTTCACTTTTCCAAGGAGGCAGGTAGGAAGGCAGAGGCCTGCTGCTTCTGGAAGCTTAGCTGAGTAGGCCAGGCAGGAGGGGATTCTGCCCAGCTGTGACATGGGACAGGCTAGACATTCTGTTACTTTGATTCCCTTTTTTCCACACAGATTCGGAGGAACATGCTGTCTTAGCCATTTTCTCCTCTTCTTGCAGAAACCCTCCCTCACAGCAACGGTGGACATGCTAACAGCCATTACTTCACCAATCCCAGCTACCACACACTCACCCAGCGCGCCGCGTCCCCACACGTCAACAACAGGGACAGGATGGCCATCGCAAAGGTGAGAGGAGATGCCCAAGTCTTCGAAGGTGGCAGGGAGAGAGGAAAAGAACAGGTGTTTATTGAGGGCTGCTATTGGCCAGATGCTGTTCTAGATATTTTACATATATTATCTAATTTATTCCTCTAAACAATTCTCTGAGTTTGTCTTAGGATCTCAAGTTCACTGACGAAACTTGAGTAATGGGGAGTTTCAGTCACTTCCAAACATGCCGCCCAGCTACCGAGTGAGGCAGCTGCTGTGTGAGCCCTGTCTCTACAGTCTGCACTGTTTCTGTTACACTTCCTTGGAAAAATGTTCCTAATTGTACATGAGATTTTAAAATAATTTCTCATAATGACATTAATGCAAACATAAAGAACTATAGCAGAATCAACTCTGGACAAAATCCACACGTTTGTCTCTTCAGACCGTCTGTCTTCTAGTTCCTTTCCTGGCCACCTGTACTTTCGTGACAACAGCAGTCATATGCACTGATTTGGGTTGGACCACATGAAGTTGATGCTGTTGTAGGTCAACAGTGGTCAAATAACAACAACCTAATACTATGCCAAGCATTTCTAATCACTTTACAAATATAAACTCATTTTAATCTTTATACTAATCATATAATCAAGAGTGATTATTATCCTCACTTTAGAGACAAGGAAACCGAGGGACAGCGAGGTTGGAGGCCCAGGTTTGTCCAGAACCCGGAGCTGCTCCTCTGGTAGCACCCGCTCACCCCCAGGCCTCCCACAATGTTCTGAAATCCCAAACACGTCTCCCTTTCCCTTCCAGTTGTACCCAAATTAGATTTCCAGTCCCCATCATCTAATTCCAGATCTTTATTAGAAAAAAAATCAACTAATTAAATTAATCCAGTCATTAATGCAGCTAGATTTTAATTATAGCGCCTCATCGTTACATAGTACTTCACATTCTCCAGAGACTTTCACGTTTATCATTCCATTTGTTCTCATACAGATTCAGGTAGGAAGACAGAGCCGATGCTCTTACCCTCATGTTTATGCCCGGGAAAATTGCTAAGAGTCGTCTGTGACTCAAGCATACGGTTTTTGAGGGGAGGGCTTATACTAAGAATCAGTTTTTTTCAAGTCAAAGTTCCACGTCTGTAACCCACATGAGGTCTGACTGGCACAGAATGGCAGAGCGAGACGAAGAACTTGAGGTGATGGAGGGCGTAGCTGGGGCTGAGGGACACGGACTGCTGCTGCCTCCGAGTCCCGCCAGGGCGCCAGTGGTCATCCCGGCCCTCAGCTAGCCTCCTTTAAGGCCTGGTCCTTGCTCTGTGCCCCGGACATGCTTTCCCAGACCGGCAGCACCGTGCGGTGCCATGTTGTATTCTCTTCTTACATCTTTTATTGTTTATAATTTAACAGTCCAAAAACAATCAGCTGTTTGTGAATCTTAAAAACGTGAACCCTGGAAAGAGAAGCCTTGTGGCGGACTGCACCGGGACGCTGCCGCCTGACTGGAAACATGGCGGCTACCTCAACGAGCTCGGTGAGTTCTCCCGCGTCCCTGGCAACAGCTTCCTCTCCTAGTCACCGAGATAGTCCTAGATCTCTGTGTGCTGAAGCCATCAATCGAAAACATGCATCAGAAATCGTAGTGACAGAATTGTACCTATCATTTATGAGGGCTTGCCACTGTCCTAAGGGCTTTATTTATTCAGCATTTATTGAGTTCCTACTATGTGCCAGGAATTGATCAAAAGAGACCAGGATCTAAACCAGCCGTGGTGGGGCATGCCTGTAGTCCCAGCTGCTCCCGAGGCTGAGGCAGGGGGATCGCTTGAACCCAGGAGTTTGAGGTTGCTGTGAGCTGTGATGACACCACTGCATTCTACCCTGGGTGACAGAGTGAGGTCTTGTATCAAAGTAAATAAAAATAAAAAGTCTTTTTAAAAAGATGGCAGGATTTTTGCCTGCTTGTTGCTTACATTCTAGCTCTACACATATGAACTTAATTCTCACAAGTACTCTTAACAGATAGGTACTCTCATCATCTCCATGTTACAGTTGAGAAACTGAGTCATAAAGAGGTTAAGAAACTTGCACAAGGCCTCATGGCTTATTAAGTGTTAGAGCTGGTGTTTGAACCCTGTCAGCTTGGCACCAGCAAGTATGCTCCTTTTTGTTCTCTTTTAACGTAGGGCACCCATCCTTGAGGCCCCTTCCCCTTTCAGGTGGGGAAACAGAGCTACCAGCAGGAATATAGTAGATCAGGGGTTCTCAAACTTTTTAGAATCAGGACCTCTTTATACTGGTAAAGTTTATGGAGGACCAACAGAGAGCTTCTGTTGATAAGAGCTATATCTGTTGACATTTACCATATTGCAAATTAAAACTCAGAAAAAACTGTTAATAGTAATTTATTAATTTATTTAAAATAATAATAATCTCAGTTCACAATAATATGAAATGGGTTCTTATGAAAAATAACTACATTTTCCAAAATCAAAACAAAATTAATGAGAAGAGTAGCACCGTTTTATATTTTTATAAATCACCTTAAATGTCTGACTTAGTAGAAGATGCTAGATTCTCATATCTGCTCCTGCATTCAGTCAGCTGCATTCTCACACTTTGTGTAGCTTCTGGAAAACACCACTGAATACTTGAAAGAGAATTAGAGTCAAAAAGGCAAATAACATCATTGTATTATGATGATCTCCTGGACCTCCCGAAAAAAGGGTGGGGATGTTTGGCATCTCAGAGAACTTCTGTGATATACCATTGAGTGTGTGGTGCGGTTTTCAGGCATGTACCCCATATTTTAAGGGAGGAGTTTGGTGGTGTAGTAACTTACATATGTGCAGTGCCTTTTGGGTAACAAACCCTTTCACATATATTTATTTGGTTGGTAGGATTTCCGGGAAGCCCACTTAAATTTGCATTTCAGATAAGCAACAGATATTTTTGCATAAATGTATCAAAAATCTCACGTGGCACATACACTAAGGATCATTTGTTGTTTCTTTAAAATACAGATTTCATTGACCTTTGTGTATTTTTATTTGCTAAATCTGACAACCCTACCCAGGATTGGGTAGAAAAGGTCCATGAATCTTGTTTTATAGAGAAATAAATTGGGAAGCACAGAGAGGTTAACGCTGTTATCCAAATTTCACAGGAGGAAAGGAGTAAAGCCAGATTTCAAGGTTGGTCTTCTGACTCCTCCCTTCTGCTGCTTCTGTGAACCCCGTGTGTGTCAAATTCCCTCACCCTGTCGCAGGGACGCGCCGTGTAGACTCGGGAATACTCCTTACTACAGAAATAAAAATGGTTTAGTAGAAAAATATGTATGAATTCTTAACTTTTACTTGTATTTTATATTTAATAACATTGTTATCAATAGGATGTGTATTCTAAACACACAGTAAAATTATTTATGTATCAGATTCACAGTATGCTTATTGGTAACATCATTCAACATTAAAGCAGGTTTTAAAAGTCTAAATTACAGTTATACTTTAGCTCAAGAAAGTATATAAATTGATAATCAGTTAAATACTAACCAGTACTAATGAAGTAAAAGTCTTCTTGTTCTATCCTAACCTACTGTAATTGGTCCTCACTCCTAAACACACAGTATCACCGCACTGGTTGTGCATAAACATCTCTGCTTTCTGGCTCAGTGAGACAGACCCCACAGACTTATGTTGGGAACTTAGAATCCTCATTGGAAATTCTGGATCTCTTTGGGTTTTTTTTTTTTTTTCAGCATATTATGGGGGTACAGATTTTAAGATTTGAATAAATGCCCATTTCCCCCCTCCCCCCACAAGTCTGAGTCTCCAGCATGACCATCCCCCAGATGGTGCACATCTCACTCATTATATATGTATATACCTGCCCCCTCCCCCCTGCCCAATACCCTATTACTGTAGTACCTATGTGACCACTTAGGTGCTGTTCAGTTAATACCAATTTGCTGGTGAGTATATGTGGTGCTTGTTTTTCCATTTTTCGGAAACTTCACTTAATAGTATGGTTTGCAGCACTAACCAGGAAAATATAAGATGTGCTATATCACCATTGTTTCTTAGAGCTGAATAGTACTCCATGGTATACATATACCACATTTTATTAATCCATTCTTGGATTGATGGGCACTTGGGCTGTTTCCACAGCCTTACAATTATGAATTGTGCTGCTATAAACATTCGAGTGCAGGTGTCTTTTTGTAGAGTGTCATTGGATCTTTTGGGTAGATGCCAAGCAATGAGATTGCTGGATCAAATGGTAGATTCAATTGTATTGTTTTAAGTTATCTCCATATTGCTTTCCACAGAGGTTGAACTAGTTTGCAGTGCCACCAGCAGTGTAGGAGTGTTCCTCTCTCTCTGCATCCACGTCAGCATGTATTGTTTGGAGACTTTTTGATAAAGGCCATTCTCACTGGAGTTAAGTGATATCTCATTGTAGTTTTGATTTGCATTTCCCTGATGATTAGAGATGATGAGCATTTTTTCATATGTTTGTTGGCCATTCTTCTGTCTTCTTTAGAAAAGTTTCTGTTCAAGTCCTGTGCCCGCTTTTTTTTTTTTTATATTATAATAATTTTATTTATACTTTTCTTTTTTTTTTTCTTTTTTCTTTTTGTCTACAGAAAAGAGGTGACTGTGCCTGCTTTTTAATAGGGTTATTTGATTTTTTTCTTCCTGATTTTCGTGAGTTCTAGTATATTCTAGTTATCAGCCCCTTATCGGATGCATAGGATGCAATAATTTTCTCCCATTCTGTAGGTTGTCTGTTTACTTTCATGACTATTTCTTTGGCTGTGCAGAAGCTTTGTAGTATCATCATGTCCCATTTATTTATTTTTGTTGCTGCTGTGATTGCCTTTGGGGGCTTCTTCATAAACTCTTTGCCTAGGCGATGTCTAGGAGAGTGTTTCCACTTTATTCCTGTAGAATTTCTAATAGTTTCATACATTCAGGATTAAGTCTGTTATCCAGCGTGAGTTCTGGTTTATGTGAGAGGTGAAAGGTGTGGTCTGTTTTACCTTATACAGATGAGCTATCCACGTTTATCCCAGCACCATTTATTGAAAAGGATCTCTCTCTTNGCTCTTC